CAGACTTACTAACAATTGTTCTCTTTAAAATAGTTCGTCGTTAGCCCAGGTCGGCGAATAAACAATAATCCAGTCATGTTGGTCCAGAGGTCTTCTTCTGAACAGTTACCACATATAATAGATTCCGAAGATGTCTGAAATGTTTTGGTATCAGAGTTAGTACATGAGACTCGCGAGTGACCGCTGCAAGTGCGAGCGAAATCAGGAGAGAGTCGAAGCACGTGACCACGCTTGTATTATATGAAATTGTACAAGTGCGCGTTTTTGTAGTTTTTCGTATTTAAACAAAAAACGATTATGTAATTGATGAAATACGTAGTGTTATAATGGAAGTAAAATAAAGGTACAAAATCCCACAGGCCTTAAGTTTTTTCACCGTTGGCCTAGCTACCACACGGCGGGGTCATTTTAAGTGGATTTTCAAGCTCAAAGCAAACACTTTCGTTGCGTGGAACTTTTGATCATTTTGGGCAGTTGCTGCATGGAATAACCTTCCTCCGACGTTTGTCCACCCTCCTTCTAGAACCCAGTTTAAAGCACTATTAGACATTTATTTATGCGAATCCCCGCACTGAGAACATAAAGATCAGTGCTACAACTTTTTACACTTGTGCATTTCAAGTGAACGACAGCCACTGATCGATAAGAATAAAAGCGACCCGGTAAACTTGGGCAAAAGCCTCGATCCTGTGTATCAATCCGTGAATCCGTGAATTCTAGAACCCAGTTCAAAGCACTACTTGACATTTGCTTATGCAAGTCCTCGCGCTGGCGAGCATACTTCCCCGCGCTGAGAACATAAACAACAATGCTACACCCTTTTTTCACTTGTGCCCTTCAGGTGAACGACAGCCACTTACCGACAAGAACAAAACCGACCAGGGGAACTTGGACAAAGACCTCGATCCTGTGTATCAATCCATGAATCGGTGAGTCCTTGAAAGCGAGTGTGCTATTGGTCGACGTCGTAGCTCATTATGGCGGTTGGTCGGTTACCCCATGAAAGTCCGGCAGAGGAAGAGGACATTCTGTTGCGTTATTATTCAACTCGATGTGCAGTTAATAGGTCTTCCGGTTATGGAATCCATAGCAGAACCCGTAAGAGCTATTAATAGCAGGCGGATTTATGTCCCACTATCAGGACTTGATGTCGGTTATGTAGCTACATATACCAAGTATACGGTGTCTGTCGGTTTGATTTATTTATATGTATTGGTAATGTACAACCTTGCTTACTGGGTTTCGGCTCATGAGCTTTGTTTCTATCTTCCATCCACAGAAATTGTCGTGAACACCTGCATTCTGAGAATCACTGTACCTTGGTGTTTCCATAGCGTGCATACTACAGTTATAACTGAGCTGACCTCTGAAATCCTGCAGTAGCGAGTGGGTTTGGACTGGCTTCCGATAGAACGCAAGACTACCTTGCCAAGCTGGTATCAAATGGTGACTACAATTCGTTACCCGGTTAGCTTTATCTTCCACGGCATTCCGGGTGAAAGGGCTAACCGTTTTGCGGTTATATGGCAGTTAATTAACTGTCTACTAGACGACCAACATCGTTCTTTGGTCGCCTGCACCACAAGAGCCACCAAGTCGTTCCTAGTGGTTACTTCGTAGTTAATCGTAGTTAACCAACTGACTGAACCGCGTTTCCAGGGATAATCGCCAAATGACACGTGTGTTTAGCAGTTATTTGACCTGGATTTCAGCGTTAAGTAACGGCGATATAACCAACATCCAGCCATATTTCACGGTTTTCCATTGTTACTTGGCCACGTGGTGGCAGCACTCCACCGTTTATGGAACCACGAACTAATTGCTGTACAACCCTGTTTTCCGATTATTGCTGTGTTAAATACCTGCTGGCAGAACCTCCTCTGTTATATCCTGGTTAGTTATACAGGAGAATGTTGGTAATTCAGGTAGCACACATGATCGTTGGTTCGTTCGCTGCAATCGAATTGCCCAGGTCAGCGAACAAACCGACGGTCCTGTCCTGGTTAAATGACGATACCATAACTGAATTCTTTATTGCCTGGTTGTCTTAGTAATAAAGATACATAATCGTTCAGCCCTGACACACTTTCAGTATCTTGCTGCTATGCCTTCCATCATCCCTCACAGTTATCTCTTAACTATCGTCATGTCTAATCTGACATTCAGTCTTGAGTAGTTTCCAGCCATAGGCTCGTCATTCCAGCATCTATGGCTTTGACATATTGTGTGCCACCGCTCACATATATCACTACGTGTTCTCTATTCAGGCCTAATTTTCCTGTTTTTATCGCAGCCGTTAACGTGAGAACTACGGTATTCCTTTGCTTGTACTGTACATATTCTGTCGATCGGCATCTGTTGCACCTCTGACTTTTAATCCAGAATATAATTGCCAAACTTACGGTACCCTCTCTAGACGCTACACTACGAGATTTGGGTGATCCTACAGCTGTTCCAGCGTGTTGCGCCAGTGTTGGTTCGAAGTTCTCAGGCGAAGGCTTAATCGCTCAAATGGATATCTATAAACAGCCCTGTGCCATACGACTTTCTAACTCAATAAAACATTGCTTTGGTCGAACTGATGGATGCTGTCTGTATATGGTATCCATTTATGCTCCAAGGAACTGCTGCTCCGACTCATTTAAGGACACCTACCGAGAAGTTACCACCCTGTTGTCCACCACAAAGGGATCGAGTATAGTTGCAGCAGCATTTTTCACTACCTGAATCAACCAGAAGCATGCCTTGGTGATATACTGAGTCTGAATGTAAAACCCAATGATAATGTTGAAAAGTCTTGCAACTTTGTACTGTTGACCAGTTGTTTCTTAGCAGTAGTGCGTGGGCACCTTTGTGTTACCTGGTGTCTCCCACCACTGAGCTACTTCGAAGTCACCTACTGATAGTGTGGTTGCGTTTTTGATTGTCGATCAATTTGATATACAAAGTTTGATTCAGTTCACAACCTTGTAAATTTGTGAACTCCTAGAAATTGACTCTCCGTTTAACAAAAGAAAGCTTTGTGGGTCGCAATTTAGAGAAACATACCAAAGTCTACTACGCAATGCGTTACAAGTGGCCCCGTCGGAGGGTACTGACCATAAATAAAGTGAGATAATAATATCCATGCCTGGCCATAGTCTGCCTGTGGTATTCCCGGGCTAATTAGCGGAAGTCACTGGATCTCAGAAGGTCATTATCACTCCTTTTTGCCAGGCACTCTGTTACCTCGAGCTCAGTGCAGTTGGGTTCAGTCAGTTCAGTATACCAGCTACAAACCGTGAATCAAGGGTACGTTGGTTCCAGGTGCTACAGTCTAGTTCACTGAATAATTGGAGGACGTGGGAGATAGCCAAGCACTGGAAGCGATGGCGTGTTCAGTTCGGGACTTGGGCAACTACGCATTGAAGACGACGAATTTAATGCACGAGTGTCACTGACTGCGTGAATAATCTAGGTTTGCCTATGCCGTTGACTATTAATGAGCTGAGTACCGGAGTCCCTACCCAGGAAGGTAGCAGTCGTTGACCAGATTGGGTTTACTGGTTAGCATTTTCATACTTCATCGCAAGTTCATAGACTGTCCACCTTTCTGTTGCGTCAACAGCACAGGACTGAATGGAAAGAGCGGACTATTCTAGCATGAGGAGTGCATGCTTAACCATCGTAACTTGTGAAGCATCAGTAACTCTTCTATAAATGATTTCTTCCTAAAACCATTTGGTGTACGAATCCTATTCTACTGCCAGTGCGGTGCAGCCCATTGCTTAAGGTCTGAGACGGACTCGAAAGTCCGTGGTTCGAACCTGACCCCGGCATATTGACCGCACCTGTCTAGGTTTGGGCAGCATCAAGGTATTTCAGTCCTCGTACCTCCTTCAAGTGGCACCGCAGGGTGTCACGGCTGAGTGATTATTTATTAGTTTATTTATTTCCCCACCACACCCGACCACTGTTTCGAAGACACTGACTGACACCTTTCGTGTGTCATCTGCACGTGGGAACCACGTTTGTGATCCGTAAAACAGTATGAATCGAACCGCTACAGTTTATACCCTTCCTTTGGCTTATAAAACCACGATACATAGGCGCAATAGGTGCCAGAGATCGCCAAAAGCTGCCCTGGCAATATTTGACACTTTTCCCCACTAAATTGCAAACGGTTTTCCACACCACCGATGCCCTTCAATCGCTTCCTACCATGCAAGCAAACGCCGCTGGATCAAATTGATCGTTATCTGGCCAATACTTCATCAGTCACACTCTGTTAACAGTAAGCAAAATACGTTTGATAAATCCACGAAATACTTTATATGCAGGAGTTTTCGACACTAAATTGACACAGGCAATGCCCGATCGAACCTTGTACTCTGAAGATTTATGTATATCGTCTATCTGAAACAAACGTACAAGACAAGCATCACCATACGTTTTAAGCGCCTGGACGAACTCAGCTCCCTCACATTTTACTTTCAATATGTCTGGTGATCCTGAAGCGGTGACTTGTGGCTTATATGGAATGGGAGTTGCACTCAGACCCTTGAGCTAAACACTTTTACTTGATTGGCTGTCGGTCATCCAGCTCGACGCTACTCAGCATAAAAGCCGGAGTTTGACTGAAGTGTCGACATATGCCATAATGGACTACAAATAACCAATCTTTCAGCTGTAGTATCTTTGCGGTGCCCGGCTACCATGCAACCCGAGGGAAACACGAGGGCTGAAAAACTACCAGGTCGCCCAAGCCTAGACAGAAGCAGCCAAGCTGCCGTGTTGTTTTCGAACCATTGAGCTTTCTTTGGCTCCAACGGAATGCAGTTCTGAGAAGGATACATTCTGTCTTGATTGATTCGATGGTTCATCAGGCAGGAACCACCAACTATCATTATTGTGGACAACATGAATGTCTGATTCGGTCGTCTCAGCTTGAAGTTACAATCAGGCGGTCGGTTTGGAATCTATGCTCGCCAGAAAGAGAACCATGCAGTTGTGCCTTGACCATCAACTGTTTCGGGGGCGAGATGGCTCAGTGGTTACAGCGCGAATTTACTAACCGGAAAGTCCGTGGTTTGAATCCGACCTCTACCTCTCGACTTCCCCTGTCTAGGTTTGGGCGACCTGGCAGTATCCCAGCCCTCATGCAACTTTCGGGTGGCATGGCAGTTAGGCACCAAAAGGGTACTATAGCTGAACGATTTTTTCACAACAAGGAAACCTACGTCTTACAATAAACTCATGCTGCATTAGCTGTTGCGTGGTGCCATCAGCCGGATCGCCTTACTCGCTGCATACAGCAGGGCAGGTAAGCGGATACAGGTTACTACTGACGTCTCCCTTCTTTCTTTTTCACATACTTTTTCTTTCCGCTTTCTCCACCCCACTAATAATTTTCCGTTGTCGGACCAGCACTTAAGACTGATGACTCTGTCCGTCTTGCATTGGTTTTATGTGCAACATCTGCGCGTCACGTGGCGTCGAAATCCTCCTCATCATCATCGACAGCATGACATCAATGTTCAACACCGATGCTTCACTGCCGCCGAAATCCTCAGGTATCTCAAAATCGATATTCAAGCTCCGATACCCAGTCTACCACTCCATCTTCGGTGTGCACACCCTGAAGCAAGCAGCGAATAAGCTGCTCTTGCTATTACACTGGACTCGCTTGGCATTGATGTATATTGTATCAGAAACAAGAATTCAAGATAATGGTTAAGCTAACCACTCCATCAGTTTTCACTCGTTTCCGGCTGCGCACGTCTGGTGATCCAGCGGCCGCTCCGGTAGGATGCAGAGGGGGTGGTATTGTCCTAAGTCACCGGGCGGAACTATCCTTTGGTTGACTGGATGCCTGTTGATAGGCGCCTCTGTGCGATTCGTCTGGCAACGTCTATGAAGGTGTCTCGCAAGCACGAATCTGGTCGTCTGTTTATACTGTCCTCCTACGCCCCACGAAGACACCTTACCGTGGTGTGGCGGTTTGTGTACAGTCTCCTGGCGTCCAGGTTGGGGGTTGGAACATGTATGGCGACGTGTTCCGTAAAAAAATGGTAATGTACTTGCATTTCCAGCTGAACACCCCTGCCCTGTGGTTAGGCTTTTGAGCCAAAGGCTTGGTTGAGGACCCTAATCGTCTTCCTGTCTAGGTGGGAACGCTCTGACAATATCCAAGCCCATGTACAACCATGAACTGCACATACACAAATAAACTCATGCCACATCGGCCGTCGTGTGGTGACATCAGCCGGGTCGCCTTACTTGCT